AATGCATTTAACATACTTTAATTTTCTATGAAAAAGATTGAATTTGGAATGCACAGCAAATCATATTCTTAGACTTGGTGTCGTTTTCATAAATCCATGAGGGTTATAATGTAAACTCTTTCTCTTAGAGTCATTCCTGAGCATAGTTTAGTACAATTTTGATGAAGTAGAACATTGTAGATTCTTGGTTTTCTTTTGTTTAGGAAGGTGGCAGGTTTGTAGGTGATCCTCTACTCAGTGCTAAGAAGAGTTCTCAATGTCTTAATCCAGGCAACCTCAAGGAATGTGAGAATGTAAGACAGCAACAGCTTCTTTTTACTTACCTTACATTAGGGAGAATGAGGACAATTGAATCAGTGGCCTAAAGGTTAGTTATCTAAGATAAACTGTACATTGTGCAGATGAAAATAACACATGTCTTTGGCCTATGTGCCCTATCTCTACTTTTTTTTATGTAACCTCAGCAACTCTGGCGTGAGTCTATTAAATAAGCCAGCAGTGTTGTTTCTTTTAATCTGTAGACAAAAGGAGCAATTGAAATTCTTCTCTAGAGTTTTCATTGGTGTATTCTACAGAACTTGGAGCTTTGCAGTGGGTCATGGAGTCCTTATAGTGAGGGACAGAATGTCATATCTATTCTCTTCCTTTATAACTCTAAGGGTGCTATTCATAATTTTAGAAATGTATTTATTTATTGTAATAAGAAAAGTTTACTTATCATAATGTCTTATCCTTTTCCTGGCTTGAATAGTTTACAAAGTTGAACATGTGTGTTGAAAATCTGAGATCTAAAGGGAAAAGAGAAAGATCATTGAGGAGCTCAAAGGTCACTAAAAGAGATCTGCAAGCACCTTAGATATAGAAGAAAACTAATAGTAGATGACATAGCAAGTTTCACATTTTCACACATGTGAAAATCTGCTACTGTTGGGCTTTATAAGTATATAATTCATACAATAAACTTAGAAATGTGTTGTTGGTTCCTTTTTGTTTCTGTGCTAAAAGAGCACAATCAAGAACTATTTGGAAAGCATTTGCTTGGGCTCTCTGTTGCAGGGAGAAGAGTCCGTCATGGTGGGGAGGAATGGCAGCAAGTGGCAGCATGGTGACAAGAGCTGGAAGCTGAGAGATTACATCTTCAACCCAAAGAGGAAGCAGAAAGAATGAACTTGGAAGTGGGGAGAGGGAATACACTTTCAAAGCTCATTCTCAGGCATGTACTAACTTCTGATACAGTTCCCTATGGTCACCATTTCTCGTTCAACTTACTATGTCTCTTTATGTTTACTTCCCTAACAAAATGGTAGTAAGAAAGTTAATGGGTTTTTTCATGTTATGCTATGGGGAGTTGGGGCAATTAATTTGGAACACAAAGTACTGTATCTAACATAGTCATTGAATTGGATGTTTCTAGTAAGTTACATAACAAAGGTGCCCTCTCTGCCTCTCTGCCTCTCAGTAGGGGACAAGTGTCTTGGTGTTGAAAATTAGAAAATGCCATTGACCAATTTCTCCTGACCAATCTTGAGCTTCCCCTGTGAGTGAAATCTTGTACTGTTGTGTTTTATGTGTGTTGCTTATAGCTGTGTGTATGACAGCTGTGTGTGTAGGGATCGGAGTTTGGGGAGGGAGAGACAAAGAGACAGACAAAGAGAGAGAGAAATAGGAAAGTACTTTACATTTTGAAATTTTTGTTAGGATATTAAATCAGACAAATTAATGACTCTTGCACAAAACTATTTCTCTTAGTCCTCTTTTGAGGTTCCCTCTGTGAGCCAGCATTAGTTTATTCCATCTTCCTTGGACATTCCTGGTTTTTTGAGTCATAGAATTAGTCTTTGTCCTTTGTAGACTACCATCGTATTTCATATTAAGATGTATGCTGCCTTTCCTATTTAGAGGTGCCAGTGTTACAGTGGTGATTGCAATGAATGTACATTGAATCTAAACAGATATAGAACATATGCTGCTGTTATTCATGAGGACATACAGTTTATCTTTCTGTTCATGAAATTTAGTGTTATTTTCTTTTTGATTTAGAAATCAGACATGTTTTTCAAATAGGCCCAATATGTTTACTTTACTTTTTTCTTTACAGAACAGAATTAAGACATCTTGCAGATGTTTCTTCTCAACTACTATAGTGGAGTGTTTCTATCTTTTCTTTTTAATATTTTGTTGTGTCCATTACCAAACATTGGCATCTAAAATCTTGAAAATTTAATAACAAATCTTTAGTACTCACTTTATTATGCTGATGTAATAAAAATTTATCCATCCTGTAGAACTTGATCAATAATTTATTGGCAAGATAAAATTTAGTTACAGAAGGAAACAAAAAACCATACACATCAATGTATCTTTGTCCTTAAGTAAATATTGTTCTAAAACTAGAACAGAAAGTGTTAACATTCTGTCTAAACTCCACCCACACAGTTACCTGGCAACAGCCAGATAGGCCTGGCCCACTATGAAAGGGGCTGCTTGCCCCCTCCTCTCTCTCTTGATCTCTTGCTCTTGCTTTCTTGGTCCCTCTGTCCCCTTGCCCCTTCCCCCTTCCCTTCCCCTCCTCTCTCCACATGTTCATGGCTCTCTCTTCTCTTCTCTTCTCTTCTCTTCTCTTCTCTTCTCTTCTCTCCTCTCCTCTCCTCTCCTCTCCTCTCCTCTCCTCTCC